GGGGGGGAATAGGGTCTTATGTGGAAAATAATTAGTGTGGGCACTTGTTGCTCGGCGGACTTCGTGGGGCTCTGCCAAGGAATTGATGTCAAGGAAGTAGGTTGAAGTGATCCATCTCGACAGAGACAAGCTTTGTATGTCAGGGAGGAGCCAATTTTTGCTCGGGTTGTTCGACATTTTGAATGGTAAGGTGGTAAGAAGAGCTTGATGAAAGTGTTTGGGGCATTTTTCGGTTTGAGATATTAAAGTAGGTAATAAATATTTTCATGGTTTCGTGGCAGGGCTCGGTCCCGGATTACTTTACCAGTTATAAAAATTGTCGGCAGGAACAGGACGGCAAATAGACATAACGGTAAAATCATTCGAAACGATTATGAACTACACGCATCAAAATATATTTGGCAATCACAAGCAGGACTACAATTGTATGGGATGATTCATTGGACTTTGTTTCAAATGCAATCATAATTCGAGTTTTACAATTACACAGCAGTGAACTTATGTTTACAATTGTATGACTTTTATCTTTGGATGCCAGTCCAGAATTATCAGTAGAGTAATAAAGTTTTTATGATGGCGCCTGTTGGAGGTCCACCAGTGCCCCAAATTGGAAGTAAAGAAAAACGGTGCACGACTCTCCCTATCCCGAATGCTGTAGTGCAATTCTCAGACAAGGTGTGTTTAGACCAAACAAACAATCTCTGCTCATCCTAACAGCATTTCAATCACAGTCGACTTCTTCAAGGAACTGAACACTTGAGTGTTGCCTCAGAGTTCAGTCGCTAATAAAAACACGCGTCTGAGCATTTGATTGAAAGGATGAGTGGACCTACCCTGCCTGGAAATCCAAAACAGTCCATACTGTCTGCGAGTCCACACTCGCAGCCATGAAGTCCAAATGGCACTGAGAAGAGTGTCTGTAGCGTGAGCACTCAGTATCCTACCACATCCTGTCTTTCCAGCACACACACACACACACACACACACACACACACAATTCCTTGACAGGAGTGTGTCAGTGGGTGGGGGGACAGCCGTAACGCAGCTTTGAATGAGATGGTTGTTTTAGTGGATTAGCGGGAACATAACTCCAGTCTGAGTCAATTTTGTGTGTGTGTGTGTGTGTGTGTGTGTGTGTGTGTGTGTGTGTGTCTCAAGTGGGCCAGCTGCTACCCAGTGGAGACACGCGGTCAAGCTCACCGGTATGGAAAGAAGCAGTGCATAGGAGGGATGAACAATGAATTGAATTTGAATTGACATCACAATGTGGGCAGAATGCAATTTTCAATTCGTGAAGACTCCAAATTGGAATAGTGGTGTGGACATTTATTTTAGTGTACGTCTAACCTACAAGACCCATCATTAGGCATTATAAATGAGGTTTATTGTAATACAGTTTCATTTATTGCTTGTTTTTGTTAGAAAACAAAAATGTTTGAATATTAAACGGCAATCATTATATTTGGGGGGGGGGGGGGCAGTTTGATTATTTTTCAAAATTGTTCAGCCCGTGTGCATAACCACTCCTGCCACATACCAATAACACTCCCTCAATTCTCCTGTCTTGTCCTGTCCTGACTTATTTACTACTAATTACTAAGGTGTAACGCTGCCTGGCTCAATGTGTCTGTCCTATCCTGTCCTGTTCTAGTTGCTACTGGTCATTTCAACTTCCACGTGTTGTGTAGCACTACTGGCTGGAATTGGAAAACGCAAACAAAAAAGAGCAGTTACCTCAACTATCTCCGTGCAGGCGTGGGAGAGCAGGCGATCCTTATGAGGGTCCGCCACAGCTACGTGGACCACCGTATTGGGCGTCCCGTCTGGGCCTGAAGTCAGCAGGTCATTGCATGCTACACATGGGCAGAGACACACAGTTGTGTTACTTAGATATGTCACATTTGTGTTTGTATGATTTTCCTATAGAGAAAAACTGTAGGTCTGTATTTGAATTAAAAGCCTTTGGCTTGAGTCCACATCTTTTGGTCTTTGCGAAATGCAAGACGGTGGCGCATCGACAACTGATTTGCGGAATAATATGAAATCATGTAAGAACATAGTGACAGAATTATGGCCCAAAGAAATCCCTTGTCATGTGCTTTGATACAAGGTATGAGTCCATGTGGTTTTTCGCCTTTGCTATCACTCGTTTAAAAAAAAAAAAAAAAAAAATTAAGGCAAAACACACTCGTGAAGTTCAAAACAGGAAGAGGTGGAATTCATGTTTTTATTTTTGCAAAAATAAAATAGTTTTCCTCAATTGATCATCGTATAGGCCTTCTTGTAAAGGTGTGCGTTTTTTTCGTGAATGTATTTTTTCCTCACTAAAATAAGACTTTTTAAAACTATGCATTAAAAAGTACTTTTTTTCTGGGAAATGGGACTTCTGTGAAAACATACTTTTCCTAAAAAATACAACTTTTTCCTCAAAAAAAAAACAAATATTTTCCTAAAAAGTTCATGTTTCTGAAATGTTATTATCCCTCAAAAACAACAACAAAAAAGAAGCTTTTTCTGTGGGATAAAAAGTCACAAAATATTAAGGCTAATCTGACTAATGTGATATTCTTTCATTTCAGTGTGGGCCCAACATTTGTTTGGACAAAACACTGTCTGCAGGAGAATAATAATAATAATAATAATAATAATAATTATAAAAATTGGATTGCTTCAAAGGCTGACGACAACAGAAGCCAACAAAGTGCTCTGGCAGTGAAGTGGTACGTTTATTATGCTGTCCCTCATTCCTGTCGGCCTTTCATTTCAAGGTACAAGGAATCAAATGGTGCATCCGCTGAACTGAAGGACAACCGGCTGATGCCATCACAACCAAGATGAGGCAATGACGAATGCATTAAAAACTCTTCCGCTTTCCTTGCCAAAGTCACTCTTGTCTTGGGGCTACCTACTCTGCTCGGCCTGAAACCTTGAAAGTGAATGAGTGGGATTGCATTTTTGTTTAAAGGATTTATTTGCATGACAAGCAAATACGGTGGGTTTTTTTTCTCTTTTCTCGTGATCACAAATCAGCTGTATGTTTGATCTTATTGGGAAAAAGAATGGGCTAATTATGTCTTAAAATGTAGGGCTTAAATTGCCAAGGTTTTCATCTCAGCAACTTTTGATATAACACCTTTGATCAAAAGGACTTTTACCCTCAAAAAAAATATTGCCCATCTTAATTTATCGAAAAAAATATTTTATAAATAGTTGAAAATGTAGAACTTTTTCTGAGTTACCCACAGGTACAGATGACGACTGACGGAACCCTTTCTACGATGGAACTTTCCTGTACGACGCCTCCACAAGCATTGAGTTAAAAAAAGAAAAATATCATTTTTTTTTATTCCTTTAAATGTTTTTTCCTAAAAAAAATTTAATTACATAAACAACTTTGGGAAAAATTATTTTCCTCTTAAATAGATTTCTTGAAAATGTACACAGTGCAGAGATGCTACAGCCTTCCGGTGTGGAGTTTTCATGTTCTCCCCGTGCCTGCCTGGGTTTTGTCCGGGTACTACGGTCCCGCCCACATTCCAAAAACATGCATGGCAGGCTAATGGAACACTGTAAATTGTCCCTAGGTGTAACTGTTTCCTATTTATTCAAAATACAAATCTAAAAAATATGACGACTTTCTCAAAAAATTGCATTCAAGAGTAATGCAAAGTGTACTCCATTCCAAGCCACGTGGTCTCATGCGTCACTCAAGTCTGACTAATTTCACTTGTATCACATTGTATCACATTGCTAAACAATGCGTACACATTTCTACTCGGTTGTTATGACCTTCGGCGTGTCACCTCAGGGGGCCGCCACAGCTTCTCACTCGCTAATCTGAACAAAGCAATCAGGTTTTTATTGTAATATGAAGAGACACTAATTAGCTCATCACAATGGGCTCATTTAACACAAGAAAAGCCCACCCAACTTGAAGTAAACAAAGACAACAACAAAAATAAATAAATAAAAATTGGAATGATGCTTGTACTGGTTCGAAAGCTGCTGGACCACTCCCCAAACTGCCCACGTTAGGTTAGGCTCTCCAGGATTTTCCACTGAAATCTCAGTGTGAATGCATATTACGACTGGTGTGGATGAATGCTAACAACGAAAATGTCAAGTGCGTGCCGGAAAGGAATGTCAGAAACATTCTATATGATGAGAGAGGACTCTGCTTTGAAGTGAAAGTGGATTATAGGCTTGCTGCAGTCCGCTTTGCTGCAAAATTGCATTTTGGGCGCGGCGACACAGTGGTTTGAGTACAGCACATACAAGCATATACGTACAGCTAAGATGCAAGAAAAAGCATGTACCCTTTGGAAATAACTTTGTGATGAAATGTGATAAACTTCATCTTAGTCAACGTATCCATGAAAAATTATTGAACATTTACTTTGTAAAATGCTATTTGGGTCAGCTGCAAAGTTAGGTTTTCTATTGTAAGACTTACGACACATAACGTTATGTTCCATGGATCGCCATGTTCCAAGATCAGACTGTCTCATTGAAAATATTCATCAGGCTCCCACTAATTACAACAATTACATTCAAGCTCAATCGGTTTTATTTGTTTCCATGCTGGGCTGTCACAGTATGTCTATTTTTTTTTTCAAGTCCATGACGCAAAAAAAAAAAAAAAAAAAAATCAACAAAAAGTTTCACAAAAACCCTGCACTGGTAAACTCCGCTTTCGTCGCATTAGCGTAAAAAAAAAAAAAAAAAAAAGAAATAAATATCTTTAGTTGCGCAAACCCTAATGTGCATGGCCACACAGACACCATGCTTGTTTCCATAATTGGCTGTAATTATCAACAATGATCAATACAGCGAGTACCGATACCAGGTATTGGTATCCGGAAGATACCTTGCCTTCTAGTCAGTGAACAGTAATCGCGTTGGCGGCCGATACCAGTGTCAGCCACCCTCTTGTGGCCGTTTTACGATCACAAACTAAAGGCATACGTGCCTGAAAGATGACATTAGGATGCAGTTTCTGTAAGAATACATATAAATATATAAAAAGATCATATAAAATTTGTCATTAATTTCAAGCGATTTTAAGGAAAAATGCTGCCTTCAAATATAGAAAAAGATCATATAAAATTGTTATTAATTTCAGGCAATTTTCAGGAAAAACGCTGCATTCGGATAAATAGTTCTCTCCTTAAAATTATCTATCATTGTTATTTGGGGGAAATATCAAGTAACAAAAGCATCAGTGGTATCGGTACCTGGTATCGGTGACTACAAAAGAGTTGAGTAAAACAGTCCACCAGACATCGTGAGGAATTTACACAGTAGTTTCCGGTTAGTAAGAAGTAAACCAACATTCTTCAAGCAACGTTTCCATCTCAGATTTTCGTTGTGGACTGTCTTGAAATAGAACTCACGACATGTCGAGTGCAATAAAAAATGAATGAGATCATCTCCAAACACAAAACAAAGTTCACAGGCGTCCTCTAGTCATTGTGTCAACAGTGTTCTCTCTGCCTTGTTTGTCTTTGTGATTCTTTGTTGGCTCCTCCAAAGGCCTGGTGCTTCAATGATCAAATCAAAAGTAGTATCAGATTGTATGTGACCAATTAAGAAATTGCTCCGTTTTTACATTGTTTGGCCAAATAGCATTAATCAGCATTTGAATGACACTCAACAAATGATGTTGGCGTGTTCATTTAGTTAAAAAAACTGAAGGTCCTTACCAAGGCTGAACTCCACCTGCGCCATCTTGGAGAAGCTAGCAACACCTGAAAGGAAAGAAGAAAAAAAAAAAACATTTTTTTGCCTGCTTGAATCAAGTGAGAAAAAAAGAGAAGGATATTTAATGCATTAATAAGGTCTATAATTCCTGCTGAACGGAGTAGAGGCAACATAACGCTTGTGTCTAACACAGAGCTACACTCACCTGTCGCCTACTTTTTTGCACATGTATGTACCTATAGTTTCATAATCAAATTTACTAGTGGTATCGGTTCAATGGTATCATGAGTACTACAACTGGTAGCAGTCTGAAAAGAAAAAAAAATGATATCGAACATCCCCATTAAAAAAAAAAAAAAAAAACGGAACGAACTGACAACCACTGCAAAATGTTTGTAGTTGACTTTATTAATAGTTGAATACAACTGGACTACACACTATTGATTCCAAAGCACTTCCATGTCATTTTAAACTTTAACATTACCCTTGAAAATAAATGGCTTTTCAGATGGTTTGGTTAAAAAGTAAATAAATAAAAAATGCGCCAGAAGTGTGAGGATGATTGCATGTATGTCACCATTAAAATGCAGTAGGAATTGGCTTGTGGTAATGAGGCCTCTGTTTGCAATTCAGCAGGAACAAAAAAAACATACATACTGTAGGCGGGGGGTCATGACACACTGCATCATGGACAAAGGAACCGTTATTAAAAAAAAAAAAAAAGTCTCCCAAAAAACATTTGAATTTTAAGTGAAGTAAATCATTGACATCTGCCAGCATGTCAGCCCTCCAAGCTTGAAGGGCTTTCGGCTGCCGCAGCTCAACATGTCCTCGGCGCTTATCAAAGTTTCATCAGCACTGGCGCGAACGCGACAACGGCAGCACACGCCGCATCGCGACGAACTTGGAAAGCCGAGAGTCAACAGAAAAAAAAAAAAAGAAGTTTATTTGGATAGATAATTGGCCTGTCTGCGTAGCCGAGTGCCTGTGTGCATGTAAAAATACAGAATATTTTTGAGCCGTTTTTTTTTTCTTTTCTTTTAATCTTGCACAAGAAACACAACCCCCACCCCCCCCCAAAAAAAAACTAATGGAACTAAAACAAATTTTCAAAACAAAACAAATAGAACCTAATCAAATTATTGTCGTAAATTAATTAAACTATATTAAAAAAAAAAGTAAAATTACAAAACTATCTGAAACCTGAGTTAATTCTGTACTTGTTCATGACCTTCACTCTGGTCGTCGTCACTAACAGTTCTTTTCGGGCCTTTCTTCCAAATTTGTTTTCATCAACAGCTGCCATTTTCCTTGGTTTTCCTGTTTGACGTCTGTTACTTCTTTACCGTGTGCTTTATTTAATTTTTTTTTTCTTCAGGGGATTCCAAATAGTTGTATTAGTTTGTGGCTGATGTTTTCTGATTGACTTTTCATTTTCCAAAAATGTTCACCCATACACAGCTTTTCATGTTTCCCACACCTCAACTACAAACAGTCTTCACAGGGAGAACCCGACACCGAAATTGAGCATCAACATTCGTCGCGAAGCCCATTCCAATCCTTTTGCACATATGAAAAATGGGTGCGTTCAAACGCAAGCTGTTTCTGTCCCCGATGTACAATAAATCCTTGGAAATGAAAGATGAGCTATTCATCCCTTGTGTCACATTCATCTTATGATGTCCAACCAAAATGTTTTCACTCCACAGTAAAAAATAAATCAAACGGGCCCCACTGTTCCATTACTTCCGTAAGGGTGTGCATACGCAGATTGTACAAAATGATTGTTATCCAAAGTTACTTGGCCAGCCCATACTGCACTTCGGTAAACATTTGAGACCCCACGGTCCATTAGTGGAGCTGATGAGGCATGGTGAGGTCGACTGTGTCTGAGGGTGTCCTGTAAGAGGATTTTTTTTGGAGGGGCCATTCTCCTTCCACTGCAGATGTTTCCTGTGTCGCTTTGTGTGCCCGACTGTGAACGTGATGAATGAGATACAGCAGCGGTGACGGCTGAGTCGTCGGTCCTGCAGCCGTCATCGCAATGCTCCCCTCCCCCGAGGACAATAGATAACTAGAAAGCCTCGCGCTGACACTCACCAAGATTGCAGCGTGTTTGCATAATCTGCAATGAATGTCTACATCTATCATTTGTGGCGTTTTTGGGGAGGCCCTATACACTCCAACGACAACGCTATCTGTAATGACATGTTTCTGTTGGCTTAAAATACTGCAGGCACAAAATGAAAGGAAAAGTCCTTTACAAGCGTGCAAAACATTCGCCATCGAAGCTTGGTTCGTTGTCAGAGTTTTATTTTTTTTAACTGCACAACTTTGAGGGATTTATGTTGCTTTTATTTTCACTCTCACAACGTTTACGGTTTTATGGCGTTCCTACTGTAACCATGGCCACGATGACTCAATTTTGCCCTTTGCACTGCACAATAACTCTCCATGCTAGGGATCAACTGGACCAAGGAAATTGCATGATGCCTAATTACAATAATTAAATCAGCGACAATCACAAAGCTAAACACGGCGAGGATATGCAGGGAGACCAGTGGCACAGGTGTGCTTCCTCACAATCGATATCCGCTGGCATTATGAATATGCTAACGAGTCCGGTGAGGCAGCAGGCGACATGCAGATGCGACTCCCACGGGGAGTCCCAAAAGCAAATGAGGTGTGCATCGCCTGCTGCAGTGCACTTTTCATCGGGCTGGAGGAATAACAGCAACATCTATCACGGCCTGTCTGCAGGTGGCACCATAGGCGGGCAATTCATTACAATGTGTGAAAGATCGGGGTGTGCATCGCCTGCTGCAGTGCACTTTTCATCGGGGCTGGAGGAATAACAGCAACATCTATCAAGGCCTGTCTGCAGGTGGCACCATAGGAGGGCAATTCATTACAATGTGTGAAAGATCGGATGGCTGTCTTGGTCGATGAACGCCACTGAGGGACATTGCAGATGATCATTTAACCTCCTTTTCATTCATCGGAAGCCCACTTGGAGCTTTTGGCCTTTACCTCGCGGGAGATAAGCAGTTAAAGTCTGCAGGGGGTGTGAAGGGAAGTCTGTTGCTTCTCATTATCACAGAAGGGCGGCTCCCAGAAAGTATTGTCCAGGAGGGTGACATGACAGCCCAAAAATGAACTTGTTCAAAGCAGGTTAAAATGATACATGCTTTCAATCAAACCTTCCCGCAGTGTGCTGTGAATGAAGCCCTTTTGTTCGCATGAGATTGTTGAATGTCACGGTACTCCATTGGTTGGTGCGCAAAATATATTCCCATACCGACATCCTGAACCTCAGTGGGGTTGTTTCCTCCATCTCAGCAACATGTTTGCAATCTTGTAAGCAATGAAATCTGGTGACTGATTGTACACGGGAGAAAAAATATTGACTCTCAAAGTGGATTGGTCCGCATTTGCTGGACGTTACTTTAACCTGCACTACTTTTGCAACACCCCCCCCCCACACCCCAATTTTGCTGCTGTATACTGAAAATTTTCCCCAGTGTGGGACAAATAAAGGTTATCTTATCTTATCTTTTGGGGGATTTAAAGTAATGTTGCTTTTGCCTAATTAACTTCAGATTTTTCTATTTTTTTTTAAGATCATCTGGAAGTCAAGTTTCCTCATATTAATGTGTAACACAGCTGACTCAGTGTGTGATCTGTATTCCTTGATTAGTATGATTGTCGCTTTAGCCATAATCGTACTGAGCAGCCGGGAAAGTGATTGTTGTTCCACTCTCCTGTGGACTACCATTTTCTGATCTGATTATAATCACGGTGCTGGTTTTTGGCATGCCTGCTAATCAATACTAACAAAACGCAAACGGAAAAATTCCTTTGTGCAATCCTGCTTCTTACCAGGAAAAATTAAAAGGCACTTGTTTGTGTTCCAGTGTCGCACTTCAATCCACAATTTTCATCTGTGCAACATATCCCTAATGATTCAGTGAAAAACTCTGCCCATTTTTTTTTTTTTTGCTCCGATACTCCCTAAGATGCATGAAGATGGCGCCAAAGCCCTGTTTGAACACAAAAGTGTCCAAGTACTTTGAAGAGCTAAAGCTCAACTGAGAGACAAACTCTAAATGTTAAGTTTAGCCAGAGTTATTAGTAGAAGTTACAAAGACGGCATTCACCACTTGTGTGTGTACATGCACACTTTCAGTGCATTTTCATTTCCCCAAATCAAAGCATCTGTCAGCCATTTATTGTAAAGGGAAATGTAAGATGGGGATAAAAATTGGATGAAAATGTTTTTAGGTTATAGATGTTGGTATATTTAGTTTATCAACATTTAGGGGGTCAATTAATTTTGGGGTTTTCACTATTTGCGAAAAGCGTGGCATTACCGCAATATTCTGCAGGTGTGAAAGCTGCATGAGCTCCAAGAAATGCTGAAATTTCCTGACTCCACAAAAAAATAAAAATATTTAGAAAATACTTGCCTATACTGCTGGCTCAATAAGAACAAGAGGCAATTTCCATTGAGCTTTGATAAAGCCCTCCCTGTGACTATATCCTGCCTTAACCTCTTCATGAATACATATTACATGGGAGTGCCCAAGCCTCTGAACAAGCCCTGTTTATATTCCCAATGCTATTTACTTTGGATTTGGAGATGATATTAATAATTCACGTTTGTGTGCGTGTGAGAGTGCGTGGCTGGCTCACCACGGATGTTTGATGTTGCCGGCCGTTTTCACCAGACCACAAACTCCGCCACAGGAGAGATGCCACCCATCTTGTTTAAACCGCTCACGAGTACAAATCTCACAAAATTGTGGATTATTTCACCACATGTAGCAAGAGCACAAGCTGCTGTCTTATTGTCTTGTAACTCTTGATAGGCGGTGCAAAAAATGATGTCAATATTCGATCAATTGGCTAACTAGGCTAGAGGTAAAGCAAAAAAAATAACCATTTATTTATATACACTAAATTTATAAATAGTTGATTCGTTACATAACTTTTAAGTAGTTTTCCTAACAACAAGTTCGCTCATTTAGTAATAACAACCAAGTGACAAACCTCAGGTTCATCCTGCAATGAATAGCCCGCAGAAAATTAGCATAATGTCATGGTAAGAAGAATGTAAAATTGCCATTGGGTTCCACCTTTCAAAATAGCGTGCGTCACCCGCTTCCCTGTGCTGTCACCCTAGAGGAGGAGAAGGAGGTAAACTATGTCACCTTGCCAGCGATAATGGGGGTCTGTCAAGCCCGTCTCTCGTGCGCAACATGCTAATTATGCACTTCCCTTTGCTCCGCTCGGGTAAACAAAAACGAAGGAACAGCACAGCACAGCAGGGTGACCGCTCCACGACCACATCTGTCACGTCATCCGCAAATGTGACAGAGTGAATGCACACACCCGCATACTTCAAGTTCAAAATGGGTTTGGATTGCGTAAATGCAAATGTCTGTGTACGGATTTAATTGTGCATTCGTGAATTAACACAAAAGACGAGTTGAACCGCGAGTATGCGGAGGTCCACTGCATTTAAATATGCTTATTCAATCCCAGAGCAAGATGTATTAGTTAATTAGTTAAAACATGGGAAGACTGATGTCATACTTTATTGCTTTAATAGTTCAACCTGGCAAGATATGAAGAGTCGCACCCAAAGACACGTACCTCAGCACACCAAACAACATTTTCTCGATGGAACCACTTGCATTAATACCAGGCCAGCCAAAATGACAAGGTACACTCTTTCCTCACACTTTGACACATACCACTCTGGATTTTTATTCCAAGCGCATGGCGAAACACTAAATTGCTACTTAAACAGGTACCATACCATTCTATGAACGCAAAGCATCTTGTTCAACACACCCACTGTGAATTGTTTGGATCATTTCTGCACTGCCCAACATATGGTGGCACTAGAAGGGCGTAGCGAGGCTCAATAATGTTTAGTTACTATGATGACCTGAGCACCCCCCCCCCTCCTCTCCCTTCCTTCCTTTTCTTTCGCTTGAGGTCACAAACGTGATAGATTATGAACCACACCAACTAGGATTTGCTTTGTGGCTCATTTCTGCATTACCAAACATAAATATTAAGGCCCTTAAATTAATAATTCAATAAAGCCCAACACTGATTGGATATACACGTAGCTTAGACCGCAGTTAAATTGTTTTTAACATGATTAATGTTTGCCTGTGAACGTGAACGTGGCATAGCTTGTTTAATTGCAGGACGAGGATTTGTCGAGATCACTCCTGCACTGCCAACCATGAGTACGATGTATCTAAATGCTAAATCGGGCTCAATAAGTAGCACCAGGTTCAAAGTCCGGTTATCATATTTCCTCCTCCAGATGGACATTTAGAACTGTAGGTGGATGGGCAACTAGTTAACTATTGATTCAGTCAGCAGTTCTGCATAAAAACTAACTTCTGCCAACTAACCACCAAAAACAATACTGAGCACAATTACAGGAAAAAACAGCAACGTGCGCATATTGGTGGTTGTGTGAATGCAGAGAATCGAGCACTTCGCTTCTTCCGAGTTAATAATCGACAGCTGTTGTTTCAAAAACAAAATGTGCTCTTTTTGTGTTCAGAACAAAGCGCTGCCTAATATATACTGCCTTTTTTTGGACAAAGGAACTATGTGAATGTGAGTTGAGGAGCTTCTTTTAATGTTTTGCTATATTCTAATTTGAGTCCATTCGTTACTTATGGAAGGACTGCAAAACAGTGTCAAAAACTTTCATAGAAACTGGTGGGAATTATACAAACACACCCGGAAATTTCCCAATATTTTATAGACCCTGACTGGAAATGTTTCACCCTTTTATAATATGCCACAATGTAGTCATGAACCACCCTCCCCTACTTGTGAAGTACGACGTGTTTCTTTTGAACTTCTTTCTTACTCTCTGGGGTATCCACCTGTATCTTTCGCTTTGTCTCTCACTCGCACACTCTATGGCATGTGCGTTCAAGGCTAGAGAGCAAACTGCCGCTGGCGCAAACAAACGGATGTTACAAGGGTAAATTGGCACGGGTGGAGGAGGTGGAGTTCGAAAAGATAAGACAAACCGACAGCAATGTAGGAGGCTCACCGGTGTCATGAGGCAGCTCCTCTCTGGGGCAGCTGCCCAGCTCCTTCAGGTCAACCACGCAGTATCCCGTCTCCTGAGCTCCATCCATCTGTCCGACTCCCCCTTCTGGTCCTCCACCTTTTCCCCAGCCTCCTCTGCAGAGCACCGCCGTCCAGTCCAGTCCCCTCCTTCCCCACCTCCAATTAATGACAGTTGGATGGGGAAGCTGCCGTCACGGTGATAGCGATCTGCAACTGCGCTCCGCAAGCAGCATCCGAGATACCTTTTGCAGAAGGACCAGCCAGAGACCAGGGGAAGGGGAGGGAGGGGGCGCTGGAGAGGTGGAGAGTGATGAGGGAGTGTGACTCGGAATGAAAGAAAAAGCAGGACAGAATTGATGTTATGTGCGATACGGTGCTCTATCCATTAATCTCGGGCTGTCAGAGCGCACCTAGACGACAGCACACGGTGCCAAAAAGCACACTCACACAAAAATCTCTCCCCTGCTCTCTCCTGAGCGAATGTAGACATGTTCGCTCTGATTCCTGCAATTTTTTTTTGGTGTTTTTTCAATACATACAACCTAGACAAAGCCACCACCAGTTGGATAGTTAGCCAACAGGGTGCGCAGTCAGTCTTTTGTATTAACTGACAAGATGGTATTTTTAAGTCAGTCAGCCAGTTTGATTGTTCGTCAATCTGTTAATTAGCCAAGTAGCTAATTGGCTAAGTGGCAAGTTGTCTCCACACCAGTAGTTAAACCTAGCTATAATTTGTAAGCACACTAGTCACTGTTATTTGATAAGATGGCTACATTTTTAGTCAATCAGGAATTTTGATCTTACAGGTGGTCTGTGAATGAGCGAGTAAGTTACACTCTAAATGTTTGGTGTGTCAAACAGTAAGTCTGCCAGTTAATTAATTGATGGTCACATTTTTTTGGCCATCAGCCAATTTTAGTCTCGCTGGTCTGTCAACCAGCAAGTGGGTGAGTTACCCAACAAGTTAGTTCGACAAAAATAGCTAATTGGCAAGGTAGAGCGATAGTTGCACAGTTAGTTGGTTAGTCAAGTCAGTTGGATAATCGGCTGGTCAGTCAGTGAATTGACTTATTGGCTATTTAATTTGCTAATTTCAGGAGAAGGATGGTGTGCATTGGTTTATTTTACAATAGTGCTGTCCCGATAAAGATGCAGACTCAAGACACGACCAATAAGATAAAGTTGCGGTGGCGGAACCTGATGCATGCACTGCCACTCAAAAGAATGAAGTGGAACAATAGGTTTTGGGACTTGGTGCAAGTCTGTCCTTTAGTGATGTCCAATACATCAGTAAGTGCAGATACTAAAAGCCGTAATCTTCTTCTTATTGTCTGCATCAACATTCTGCCTATACTCACACCACAATGTCGGCATTTGTGACTGTGCGCCTGCCAAGGTCACCACACAAGAGAGTCCACCAAATCGATGCCGGTTTTCAATCACGTTTGTTTGTGCGTGTTCGGTTTAATAAAACACCGCCATACACAGTGATGAAATGTCATGTACCACACAATGTAGGTTACTCCTGTAAGAAAATAAACACATAATATCCCGCATTGAAAAAGAGTGGCTTTTTTTCCTCGTTGTGATAGACTCCACATGCAACGATTACAGTACATGTCATGCTCAAACTACCCATCACAGATGTACAACCTCTTCTATAGCACAGACCAGCAATTTAGAGACGAGCTTTGTCCTAAAATGTAGAGGAGGCATACAATCTTAAAGTCATTAAAAAAAACATTATTTCGCCTCTCTACATTCACGTATCTGAATTTATAAAGCAAGTATTCTTTCTGGAGTTGTGGTTACGTTCACTATAGGTTAAGCTATATATGCTCATAATTCATCTCTGTTACGCATGTGGTATTGGAGGAATGTTAAAAGGAACATTTCAAGTTATTTAAGCACAATATATCTAAAATTGGGTCAGATGTGAATTTAATGTTTTTTTTGTTTTTTTTTTTTTTTTAGTTTGTGTTTGAAATTATTCTCGAATCAAGTCTGACAGACATGGAAAATGTGCAGACTATCTGCTTTGAGCCCATAAATAACAAAAAAGTGAAGCTGAAGTTTTTTTTTTGTTTAAGTTTAGTTTGTTACTTCGTTAATTCTTGTCCTTGCTTCTTGAATGCGTTTACTTATTTAAGTTTTTTTTTTTTGGGCGGCGGGGGGGGGGTTCCACTTGTGATGCCACCACCACCGAAGGGTTACCAGTGATGGCAAAAACGGGGAAATGCAATGATAATCAGAGCCACAGTGAAATCCATAATACTCAGGGGGGGGGGGAATAGCTGGTCTCATTTTGGGTTGCTGCCGAATGAAGATAAATTGCTCCCCGATGGAGCAATAAGACAAGGGAGGTCCACTCGATACGAGGAGGCTTCTTCCTCACTTCTCATCATGCCTCTGCCGCCGCAAACAACAGGATGAACACCTCTGTCTTCCTCTTAATGGAAACGTCCACCCATTAACATTCTAATTCAACTTCTTTTAAAGGCGACACGTCTTATCAAAGGCTGACGACAAAAGAGGAGGGCTGGGGGAAAGTCAATAGGAAAAGCCACTGCAGATGGAGACAAGCACAAGTATACAGCAGTGGAGAAAATAAGCATCGCCTATCATGGAATATGGATTCCCACATTAACCTCCTCCACAAAGCACTTGAGACCCATTAGAAGCTGTTGCGAAATGCTCCATATACTAACCCAAAATATTATTTTAGCTTGATTCATGATTCAGCATTTTACTTGGACTGTTTTAATTATGAGAAAAGTGAAATATGTTAAGAATAAAATCATGACAATGCAATAATTCCAGCGTCCCTATAAAATGCCATCGGGCAACAAACCTTTTTATTCCCGAGCCGCTCCATTGCTATCAAGGGTCTATTTAAAGGGTTCGTAGTTTTCTATCATTTTAGTATTTATTTTTTGAACTAATCAATGTCATTATTCTTGCAAACTGTTTTGGCAGCGGTCTTAGCTCTACGGACTGGCATTCCAGTTACCAGCTCTCATTTTAGCTGGTAGTATACCCCCACATCGACTCAGTAAGTCCGACTGCATTAGCACTCGACAAACACGCCAACAAGCGGTCTGGCCTGATGTGTCGAGCAAACCTTTATAAAAGATAAGGGAACGTGAACCCGCACGGTGCTCGGGGATCAACGCCGTGCTGAGATTTATGGGAAAAGGTCAGACCTCTTGCAGGCAGGAGATGATAGAGGTCGAAACGCGGGCCGATTTCAACCCAAAGGTGGTGTTGTGGTTATCTCCTGATGCTGTGGTCCAGCAGGAGGGCTTTATTTTCCAAACAACTACTTCACTGGGACAAACAAACATAACTGGGTCAAACGTGAGAAGCTATTTTCATGATCAGTCACTTCTTGGCTTTTCATAGAGCCCACCTAGCAATCGAACTAACCAACCAAGTGACCTACCAACAAACAATCTAACTAAATAACTCACCAACCATCCACACAATTGATTGAGAAGCAATCCAAATAATCATCATACCAACGGACTAATTCACCAACCAATTAACGAACCCGACAACGGACAAACCAACATGCTAACTGACCGACTCAGCACCCTATTGACTCACAAGTGATAAAACGGGCAAATTACTGACTGACCGACTAATCAAGCAGGTAGTTGACTGACAAGTGATTGTGCAAGCACCTAACCAACATTTAAATGAACCATCCACCCAACTGAATGACTTACCAACCAACTGAACATCATAACTACCAACTCACTGAAGAGTCACTTGGAGAATAAAGAGTTTTAAATTTGCAAGAAAAAGTGGTAATTTCATGAAAAATTAATGAAACTTTAGCCACTTGTCAATGATTCTGTGGTTAAAATTTGAATTTTCTTTCATATCACTTTCAACATGCCAGTAATCAACACTTAAGATTTTGTGTAGTAGATATGAAAAGAGATGCAGTGGGCCTTACAAAAACGAATGAATAAGCAACCAACACGTCTGTTTACACTTGACAGCATCACTGACAGCTCATAATCAAGCTTAGAATACAATCACCATCAAATGAAATTTATAGGCTGGCCCGCTGTCAAGTATCCATTTTTTGTTGCGGCCATTTTATTACTTGCAGGAGTTGTAGGTTGGTGGAGGACTATCCATGCAGCAGTCAATTCTTCAAAGAATCATGGTGTTTCCTCGTTATTGCCCTGAATGAAAGAGGCCCGAATAAAGTGAGAGCCGCCATTAAAAGTATCATACAAGAGAAGAGCTCATGCAAATGTCCTCTTTTGTTAATCCAATTTGGCAATCATGGCCAAGCCTCTGTAATGACTCGCAACGACGGCTTCAGACTGGCAAGTAGCTGCTTCTGGGTTTTATATGGAAAACTTCCCCGCGTGCCTGACTTTCATTTCCTCCAAGGAAAGTGTCAAGATGAGCCGAGGTACAGCTTCCTGTCGGAGAGGTGGCAACGGTGTTGAAATATTCACGAGTAGCAGGGATGGCAACCATTCTCCCGGTTTAAAAAAAAAAATGCTTTAAGGTCACTTGTTGGTTGGTAAACAACATGTAGGCTCCTTTGCTTGTTGCTGTGCTCTCACAACAACGGCTCCAATGTACAATACAATGGAACCTCCAGCCACCTTTGTTCGGTGCCTTTCGGAAGAATAACACAACTGAATGACAAACCATCGAACTAACCAACCAACAAGCAATTGTAACCTACTTACCAACCACCCAAAACAACCCACACATGACACAAATAAGCAAGCAAAGTTGCTGAATAACAAACAACCTAACCGACTGACCAACTGGCTAACGAAGAGATCAACTAAGTGAAAAATCAGCTGAATAGCTAACTAGCTCACCCGTTGACTGACCAAGGGGCTGATAAACAAATGCACCGGCAAACCAAACTAAACTAGCTGAGCAACCACACAATTGATTGACCAACCACTGATCTAACAACTGACTGACTAACTGACCAGTTAAATTAACCAACCAACTACTCAACTAACAAAGAATATTCATCCAGGGGAGGCTAACCGACTGACCAACTGGCTAACGAAGAGATCAACTAAGTGAAAAATCAGCTGAATAGCTAACTAGCTCACCCGTTGACTGACCAAGGGGCTGATAAACAAATGCACCGGCAAACCAAACTAAACTAGCTGAGCAACCACACAACAGATTGACCAACCACTGACTGATCTAACAACTGACTAACTGACCAGTTAAATTAACCAACCAACTACTCAACTAAC